GAGAGAGCTAGAGAAGGCGAGAAAGAGGGAGAGGGGAGGTAATTAAGATGTGGGAGACATTTGCACCAGATTTCCTCTGAAAGTGTTTTTAAGCTTATACTCACTCTTCCTCTTCATATGACTGCATTCCAATATTGTCGCTCAAACAGTTTAAATTAGAATTTCAGAATTATAGCTGAGGTTTGACAATAAGTCACCTCTCTCACCCTCTTACACTGTGCCAGCACTTCTTTTCTGCGTGTGTGTGTGATTGGTTCAAGTATTACTGATGTTGTGGGGACCTTATTTGTTTTCATCATCACAATATAGGGACGTGTCTTCCTTATGGGGACAACATTAAAAACCAAGTCCCTTATTAAATAGTGAAATCATCAAATTTTCAGATGCAGACATTGGTTTATGTTAGGTTTAGGTTTATGCAAGTTGTGCTTTTGTGCATACATGTATGCCTTCACATGCATGCTTTACTGTGGTACGAAGACATGCACATGTAGAGGAAGCCAAAGTCTAGGAATTGTGCACATCCCTCGGCTATTTCCCCCGTTCTCCCTTTCTTTCCCTTCCTACCTTTCATCGTCTCTTTCTCTCCATACAATGTACACTGAGAGGAAACATTTCCCCAGCGAGATATCCAAACACAAATTACACGTCATCCCCTCTAGCACCAATCTAATTTAGATTGCCCACTTAAATTTGATTATTTATTTTGCCATGTCTCATTTTAATTGCAGCTGGGAGAGAAATTGCTCTGTCATCTTCCTCAAAACAGCTTTGTCGCATCATTAACACTTTCCACATGAACACTTGTGTTTTGATTGTTTATGTGCCAGAGTTCAATTATAGGCAACTTGCTATTTTAATATCATCTCTGTCGCTCTGTGTCACCCTCTCTGTTTCAGCATGGGAACCAATCAGAACTTTCAGGAGAACCACAGCTTCAGTTTTTCCTCCCATTACTCCCACGGGATCACCTCAGCTATTTACCACCCTGGCCACCGGTATGTTAAATGTTGCCAACACCCCGGCAGCCCAGATATCCTGTTGAATAAAGTTGAAATAATAAGTATTTTGATAAAGAAAAAAGAAAAGCTTTGAGCTTTTAATTTATCATTGGCACCCTAATTATTGCCCATAGCCTCGACTTGACACCCTTAGACATTTTATTCTTCTTGTGGCCTCTGCCATTCAAGCCCACTTCTATTAGAGCCGCGTTTCATCAAGAGTGTTTTTCATAGCTTTATATTCAGACATCTACAGACATCCTCATAAATCCCTTGAATCAATTTTTATGTTGAAACCCACTGCCGACCATGCGATGCAGAATGATTTCAAAGCCTTTCATCATTTGATATCTTGGGCCGTCGTCAATATGCTCCTAAATATGTATTATATTGATCAGTGAGCTGGATGTGTTTACTGCATTAAACAAACCTTTATTTTACTAAAGGTTGCTTTGCAGAA